GTTGGTTATCATTCGCTTGTTTATTTTTTCTTCTTAATCACCTTTCATAATAATTAATATTATTAATATTATAATTGTCGCTATCACTGTTATTATTATTGTTGCTAAAGCCTCTATTTCTATTATTATTATTATTATTATTATTATTATTATTATTATATATTATTATTATTATTATTATTATTATTATTATTATTTTTCTGACAGTATTTTTTGGTTAATTAACTAAGGGAGTAAAAGATGTTAAAAATTAGGCAATATATAAAACTGTATTTATTTATTTATTACTGTTTTCTATTTTTTTTCTTTCTTCTTTTATTTGCAGGATTTCTACAAGCAACTTAATCGACTGTGGGGGAGTGCTAGAAGAATTAGAATAAAGAACTAAGGGCAAAAGAGAGAAAGATCAGACGCAACAACGACAGCTCTTGTGGTAGTAGAACTATTAGTAAGGTGTAGTAAGGGAGACGTAAACTGATATTGTGGATAGAAATTTGCTGCAAAAATTATTATTAGCAATATTACCTGTGGTTTTTTGCTATTACTGCTAATTATTAGTGTTAGCAGTAGGAGCTAGGTATGTTGTTATTTGAACAGTAGCAGAATTTAAAATATTATTTATTCTGCAACTCAAACTGTCACTGTTTCTGACTCAGTCTAAATATTAGCGGTCAAATTTTGTGCTGTTATTGGCGGAAAAAATAAATAGAAAAATAAAGGAAGATAAAAACGGGGAAAAAACTACCTTGTTCTATTGCTTGCTATTGGTATATTTAAATTCGTCAGGAATCCAACAACAACAACACCGCTGAGGAAACGCAGAAGAAAAAAAAAAAAGGCAGAATTGGTTAACAGAATCTGAAAAAGAAAAAAAAAGATAGAAATTTTTTTTATCTTTTTTTTTGCGGAAAGATTTTTTTTTTGTTAAGGTAAGCAGTTTTAATTTAAAAGTATTTACTTTTACTGTTACTGTTGTCTTTTTTACTCTGTTGTTATTGTTGTTGTTGTTGTTATTAGTGGTATTGTTATTTGTTGGTTCCTTTTTTTAGGTTCCTTATTTTTTTTTTCCTTGTCTGGTTTTTTTTCTTTTTAACTTTTAATTGTAAGTCTGGGAAAATTTTTTTGATTAAAACTATTAAAAGGTTGACTAAAAGGGAAAAAAATGAGACGGGTCTGTCTGAAGGTAAAATAGCAAACGTTAATTAAGTGCCGATAATAATAGGTTTTGTTTTTGAAGAAAGTAAAGTTGCTTTTTTTAGATGTAGTCGTTTTTTGATAGACTGTTGTTGTGTTAGCAATTTGTCGGCTGATTGCTAAAAGTCTATTTTCAGTTTTTCAGTTTGTCAAATAAAATTCCATTTATATTTTTCTTTTTGCCGTAACTTTCTGATCTTTACTTTTTTTTT